GTCTCTTTTGAATAGTGTGTAGATGTTGTTTATCTCTGTGTGCCTGTTGATGGCTGCCTTGGCTGACTACCAAGCTTCCAGGAATGGCGATCTAGCCAGGCCTGCCATGGATGGTGATGCATCAGATGGAATGTTCCATATGAAGCATCAGAGGGGGGAACTGAGGACCACATGGAAGAATATTGTTCAGTGCTTATGTACTAGAGCACTCTATAAAACGCTTGTTTCAAGAGGATGAGGTTTGTGCAGCATTGGAAAAGTCATTGTACTCTGAAAAGGGGAAGAGGACTGGTTTTGAGATATTCAGAAACCATTGAGTGACCTTGTTATGAGACCACCTGCGACCCTCGTGTAGCCTAAAGCTAATTAACACACCCCTAAGGTGGAAATTTTAGAAAACAAAACATGCTAAGCTTATTATGGGATGTTAGTATGTCACATGAAATCAAGTGCGTCTGCACACTAATGTAACCGATCATGTTTTTCCATACCTACTTCCCTATTTTTGAAAAGCATAAAAATTGATGTAAAACCAAGTTTCCTCTCCTTGGAGAGACGGGACCCTTTTTGCTGAAGCGCTTGCATAAAAAGAATAAAGGTTCCTCTACTCGGTGTGTTGATTGGACCTTGCGTGCCGGGTAGACCAACCTGCCACTCTTTTGTGGCCAACAGATGGACCTCAGCCTTCTAAGAACAGGGACTTATGTATGCAAGCAGGTACTGCACCACATGGCCAGAGATTTTGAGGACATCAAATAAAGGCTGATGACGCTCAGGTTCGGTTTCCTCTTATCTCTGAAGCCTATTATTTGAGGCTTTCAAAGGAGAGAACATCGTGATGCAGCCTGAGAGAAAGCAAATGCTGAGATTAAGGATATCACGGAAACGACAACCTCGGAACTTTAGGCGTGAGTCCGCGGAGCTGTCTAGGCCGCCAGGTGGCGGTACAACTGCTCAGAGGGCGGGACGGCCTGGGCGTGGCTTCCTTCTATCTGGTGGGGAGTCGATCCCGCCCCATTCCCGCCTCGGGCGTGACGTGCCTCCAGTAGCAAGCGGCCGCTCAGGTGTGGGCGTGGCTCCTGCAGAACCCGCCCCCCTCCCGCTTTTGCTCACGCAGCCGGTGGCTGCGGTGCCCGGCTCGGCTTTACATCGCCCGTCTTTCCTGGTCGTCGAGAGGAGTGGCTGCCCATCCCTCTGGGTTTCTGGCAGCGTCATGGCAGAGCTGGAGAGCCTGGAGTTCGGCAAAGCAGATTTCGTGCTTCTCGACACCGTGTCTATGCCGGAGTTCATGGCCAATCTCCGGTTGAGGTACAGAGTGGATGCGGGGGCGAGGGGGAATCTGTGCCTCTTCCCTGCCCCCATTCCAGGCAGGAAAGGCGCAGTGCCATTTGGAGGAAGAGGTGGCAGCAGGTGTTTCTCCCCTGCTTTTCGGAAACAGGGGCGTTCATCATGGAAAGCGAATCAGTTTCATTCCCCATCCCCTATTAAATGAACCCTATTGCTGTAAAATGAATGCTACCCAGCTGAGACGGCAACATGTAGCCAGGGTTGACTGGGAGAAAAACTAAGCAGGGTGGAACCATTTATTAATTGGATGGGAGACCACCATGAAATCCTACAGCTGCTAGATAGACCAGGAAATTAAAAAAACAAAAACAAAAGATAATGGCAAACTACTTATGTACTGCTGCCAAGAAAAGTACCTGGATGTGGCTGTGAAGTCACCAGCCATGAAGTTCAATCTGATCCTTTTTTAAGGTGAATGCTTAAACGTGATTGGGGGCCAGTCGCTCTCTCGCTCAGCCCTAGGAAGCAGGCAATGGCAAGCCACTTTTGAAACCTTGCTAAGAAAACTGCAGGGACTAGTCCAGGCAGTTGCCAGGAGTCAACTGACTTGAAGGCACACACACATGCACACTTAAACATTTGGACCATGGGTTTAGAGTGTTTCATATGCATAATCTAGATCAGTGAAAAGCAGCCTGGTTCCCTGCAGATTGCTTGTTGGGACCATTAAACCCCAGCTAATATAACTAATGATCAGGAATTCTGGGAATGGTTATAATCTCTGAAGCAGCCTTTCTCAATTTATTGCTTTTCAGATCGAGTTAAAGTCCAAAAAATTTGAGAAGTACAGGTTGGGGAAGAGTGTTTTAAAAACAAACCTGTAGGAAAAGTTAGCATAATCCCTCTTTTACAGATAAGGCTGCAAAGGTTGAGAGAGAGTTGTTTGCCTGAGGTTACATTGTGAGCAGAGTTGAAAAGTTTAAGTTAAGGACTTCCTGATTCACATCTTCGTTTTTTTATTCAGTGTGTTAAGTCCACTTGGGAAGTATTCAGTAATCCCTACTGGATTGGGTTTGAAAGTGGAAGCCCTGTTTTTAATTATTATTAGGTGCTGTTGATAGATATGGTTATTGTGTATTTATTTAATTCTTGCAATAACAACACAAAAACTCTTGCTGGCTCAATTTTGTAATCTAATCTTCAAGCCTCCCAGAAGTCTGTGAGGCACAAGACAGAGTAGGAATATACTGATATTTATAGAATGTACTCCTTTTCATAGACTCCGTTGGGATATCTGCTTTTTATAGGGTTGAACTTTTGGTATGAATTCTTGAGTAGCACAACATCCTACCTCACCTTTATATCCTGCCTCAGTAGAATCACTCAAATAACGGTTGAAACATCTCACAGTGATTTTACTTCTTAGGAACAGAGAAAGGTTTTTATAGGATACACAGAGTCCATTAAGAGTAAGAGAGCCACTAAATTTTGAATTCTGTCTATATTGTACATTAGAATCATAACATTGTCTAAAATCTTCATCTCCAAACTAGTTATATAATTCAGACTGGACAATAGCAGGGAACAGGCAGATTGCAGAAAAGATGCCTCCTTAGCATGCAACTGTAGCTGTCTTTTTAAAAACTATCCAAGTTGGAATATTAAAATGGGGCCTATTTTTGTTGATCTTGTAGTAAAATATTACCTTTTCTATAGAGCACATCTCTACGTTGAAGCATTTGGCACTCTTGATTATTTCTGAATTTGGAAACTGAGTTTATAACTCAATGTATAAATTGAGAGGGTGGAGAATCTCTGGCCTCCAAATGTTGCTGAATAATAACCTGTAGAGTGCCCTCATGTTGGCTGGGATTGTTGGGAATTACAGTTCAACAACATATGGAACAGCATAGGTAGTTTACTCCTGGCGGAAGTGAACACATCTATTTGGTCTTCTGGTTTGCATTGTTGATTTCAGTACAGTTTTCAAAATAGTAACCTTGTTTTGGATGACACATTAAGTCAATTTGACTGGTAAATAGGACTGCACACGTTACAATCTTATTCCTGTCATGATGGCTCTTTAATAATTTATCTAAAATTAAATATGTCACCTGGATATGGAGTAGCCACTGTGTGGCATGATTAAATATTCACGCTGAATGAACTGTATGTATATAATGAGGGCACAAATGGTCCTATTAGTCAACACAACATCTCTCAGTGTATCATGAATATGTTTGTGTTGTGTAGGCCTTTAGCCTAATTTATCTGAGGTATTCTACAATTCTTAGGCTTTGTGATTCTTTTGCAGGAAATTATGAATGCTCCAGCATTCTAATAGATTCAGACGTTTTTGCTTCAATAACTCCAGTGAGATAGACATAGCTATTCCCAACCACTGTAGTAATTACTTTTATTGTCAAACTGCTTTTACCATTAAGAAATTATAATGTTCAACAAAATCTATCCTCCTGTAACTAGAAGACTGGGGATGCTGTCTCTGTTATTCTGCCACTGGCAAGAAGAAATATTTTTATTCAGAAGGCTGTTGGCAGTAGAGTATAGCTGAAGTTGAACTTTAAACTGAAGTTGGTTTCCAAGGTTTTAATCTTGTGGGTGCTATTATTTATTCAATATTAAATAATTAATTTATTTTTATTTATTTAAGCGTATAATATTTTAATTAGAACTTTTTATTCTTTTAACTATTTTATCTGTATTTTATTGTTAGCTGCTTTCAGTGCGGTTTTTGATAGAAAGATGTTATGCACATTTAATTCTTTACATCCACTTGATGAAGGCCTGCTTTCAGCTGTTTAGGAAGTATGAATTTGTGCTCTTATATGAGTCAGGCCTTTAGGTACTGGAGAGTGGTGTCATATCCTATTCAGTTCTTCAGGTTAAATATTTTGGCTGAGTTCACACATTGTTTTAATCCATATTTTGTTTTAACTATGGATAAACTACAGTATGGATTCACACATGGCTAAAACAGAAATGATACTGTAATGCACAGTCATAAGACTCATTGAGTCATTAGACTCATTGAATTACAGAATGTATTAAACCAAAACCACATTGTGCTATTGTTTAGCAAGATGTATGAATCTAGCGCAGAGTTCCTTTAATCTTTATTCAAATATTTTATTTTCCCATTTCTGTAATGATTTTCTACATTTAACTTATTTCTTTGACTCCAGAAATTGAAATGAATTATGACTATATTGTTCTTCTCTAGTTTCACGTGCGGCATATGTAGTATTTTTTATTCTGATGCTGATTCCAGTTATGTCAGTGTTTAGAGTCTTTGTTTAGGTTGCTTAAAGCAGGTGTTGATAATAAAGAATTCTGTTTGCAGAATTTTATTAGCTTACACTTGCATATTATGTATATCTGTGATTCTAGGTTCCTCCATTTCTCCAACTTTTGCATTCCAATTAGTCGTTAGTACCACTATATCTTTTCTCTAGGTTGCGTTTAGCACTTCATGCAATTTGCCACTGAATTCCTCAATGTAGTCATCTTTCTTTAGTAGATACATACATTAATACTCACTGAATATTTACTAAGTCTAATAGATACTGTGCTGTTATGTAATGGATTATAGCACATACTCATGCTCTTTACTGCGTAATCATCATAATCAGGTGACACATTCTAGCACACCCAAGTTTATTTTCCTAAGAGCTCCAATTTGATATATGTCATTTCAATTAACATATTTGAAAAATGTCCGCCTGGAATTTGGGATTCTCAGCTCACATATTATACTATCTCACCTGAATTGAAGGTGGTTAATTGGCATAAAAATTCAGTTGCCAGTCATTATGATGCACATAATATGAATATAAGCAGTACAAATGTTATATAGCGTTGCCTTAAACATGGTGGCTTGGTTCGTATAACACACTAGGTCAAAATATGATTTGTTTGTATTGTGAGAACGTAGTTAATTTTATTATTGAATAAGCCATGGTTAGCATATGTGAACCTAGTTAATTAAATTAGCTATTTATGTGAATATGTCCTTAGTGTTTTATATTGAAAGTGAAATAGGACATGTTTTTGTTGTGAATGTGAGCTTCCATCTTTCGAGAACCTGGGTCCATATTTTAGCCCAAACACGCATTTGGAGACTTACTTTTTCATTTTTTTTACCTTATATTTGTATAGTCAGTATAAGACAATGACCTAGTAATGATTGGAACTCTCGGTCCCACTAGGTAGACCGGACCAAGAAATCAACTCCACAGGGAAGCTTAAAGAACTTTTATTGAGATTGGGTATAATAACAGAATCTTGCAAGTCTGATTGTGGTGTTGTTGTTGTTGTTGTTCCTCCTCCTCCTCTTCCTCATGATTCAGTGAATTATGGAGATGTGTGTTTGAGCTACTTCTGAATGTTATCTGACTGTTCTGGACTTAGAAAATGCTTCAGCTCTTTTTGTCTGGGCAACAGTTTCTGCATATCTCCATCAAAGTCATCTTCCTTACTCTCTACCCACTAGATGGACCAAATACTTCATAAGAAATTCTTAAATGCTTAAAATGAAGATCTATATTATCTGTTGTGCTTACACTGCCTGACTTCTCTAGGGCAAACAGCTGTGTTGGAGTTATTTCTTGACACAGCAGGTTAGATTAGAATAGGGACAAGATTTCTAGCAGCTTTAGTGCAAGTATATTTTCTTCTTCTTTTGCCTTTACTAAGAAAATGCTGTTGTCCATAAGAAGCCCAGATCATGAATGTCCATTAGTGATATTAGTCATGATAGATAGATAGATAGATAGATAGATAGATAGATAGATAGATAGATAGATAGATAGAGTCTCCATGTTCAGAAACAATTTACTTAAGACTACTTGGTACTAGAGGCCAGATGAAAGGCCTATTCCCTTCATACTCTATTTGAAAACTTTCTTGCTTGAAAATTAAAGCAGGGACAATCAGTGCCTGACCCTATTTGTGTAACTGAGCTCCCATTCAGCTTAGCCAGTATGGCCAGAGGCAATCCAACA